AAGCCCGAAACCCTAAACCCTGTGCCATGCAACTCAGTCGGAGCCCTGCAAACCCTGTGTACTGAGACACGGGCATTCATCGCTATGCCCGCACAAACCAATGTGCCGGCAACTTCGAGATCCACGTGTTCCAGTGCCCTCCGGGCGGCATTTTTTTTGCTAGAGTGCAAGATGCCAAATGTTAGGGTTTAGGGTTTAGGGTTTAGAGTTTAGGTTTAGGGTTCGCAATCAAGTGTCCATCATTTGCACCGTGGATGTTTTGGTGTCCGGTGCTTGTCTACAAAGCACCAGGAGGATCACAGCTGAGGTCAGTACAACAACGGAAGGAATGCAGTTGCCACAGGGGTTGCTGCCAGGCACGCCGCGTGCAGGAGTTTGTAGAAGTTGTCAAGACCCCATAGTCCTCTAGACTTACACGCATTTTTCGAGGGATCCAGTGGGAATTTGGACCTTCCTCATTCCCGGAGCCTAGGCTAGGCATCATTTCATGTCTTTTCAACAGGAGCACTTGACACAGCATTGTACCAAGACGACCTCGGCGTGTGCCAAGCGTCAGCCCTGTTCCCTGTCAGGATGAATGGGAACGAGACCATTTTCATCAGCGATCGCCGCGTTGAATCCAGTGGGGGCATATACGCCGCCAGGATCCAATGCTTGAAGTTGGGCCAGGTAGTCGTGGTTGATTTGCTTGCTGGATGGATGAAACTTATGAGTGTTGCTTGTGTATTTTTTTTTTGGGGGGGCGACGGCTCTGAAGCCTCACACCTTGGCGGTTAAGCCTCGATAAAGCAGCTTATGGAAGAGGAAGGTGAGTTGAAATTGGGTTCCAAAGGCTTCCAGGCTGGATGGCCCCATGAACTTCCGAGACGCCCAGCTGTGATGGTCTCGGGCTGCTTCCCAACCATGTCCCTGATTGCAACCAAGCATGATTCTAGTCTACCTACCATCCGCCAACACTACTTGGACTTAGGGGTACTTAGAAATAATTCTTAATCTTTGGCTACTATAAACCCTAAGAAGCAGCTAAAATTTTAATTTTTGCTAGGGGTCTAAGTTCAGTATAGTGGACTTTGCGAAGCAGGACGCAAGTTGCAAGTATTCGATCTCAATTTGCGCAGAAGCGTTCGTTCCTTGTGTCTGGCAGCAAGAAACGAAAGCCCCCACCGTTCTCTGATGTTCTGCAGTGCCCTACCCTAAACCCTAAACCCTAAACTCGAGGTAGAGCCAGACTCTGGGGCCATCTTGAACGACAAGATTGGCGTGAATGTGCAGAGCAAGGGCCCCATGACCCGCTGCCAAGTAGTGGCCAACTCCAGTTTTGAAAACCCTAAACCCTAAACCCTAAATGCATGGATCTTGGAACATCAGTCCTGCCATGGGAAGCAGCTCGCGCAGCATTTTGTGAGGGACCCAACCCCCAGCCCCAAGATCGAGATTCCCCGCGACTTGTGCTGACAAAGCTGCAGGTCAGGATGAGTGTGTCTTCTTCAATGTGAATGTGAAGCAGCTCAGCTTAAAGAAACAAGGCCTCCAGTAAGTCAATGTGGTCGTAAGTCAATGTGGGTTTCCTGCTGATATCTTGCATTCTGCCTTTTCACCCTTCGCACATGCATCCTCCATGATCTGAATGTCTCTGAGGGTGTAGCCATTCTTAGCCGGATCACGGTCTGCTGTGCGTCTGGTACGAAGCCCAGGCAGATCACCAAACAGCCGGGCCACTTGTCTTTCTGAAGTGTGGCCAGCAAGCATGCTTTCGGTCCGGCAACGACAAGTAATGTAGGGGCCTTAATGATTAGAATAGGGTTTGGTGGTTTCTTGTTTTTGTTACAGCACAATATACCCCAAACCCTATTCCAATTATTAAGACCCCTACATCAGCTAGTTGCCTAAGTACAGTGCTCTACTTGTGGGGACGGACCCACGTGTAGAGAAAACCTTGGAATCGATCATGTAAAGCAGAAGATTGACAGCGTCTATTTCGTGGGGACAAGCTGCCCAGACTTCGCCGGGAGCAGATGGGGGTTTCCGAAAATAGGGGACCCTAATATGGTACCCTAAATAATAGGATCCTTATTATAAGGACCCCCAAATAAGGTACCCTAATGTTCGGAAACTCCCAGATTAGCAAGTTTCTGCCATCTTTGCTGTCCAAGGCTTCCTGCACAATTTCAAGCTGAGTATGTTGGCGGAGGAGCCACGCCGTCATCCCATGTCAGTGCTAACCTTGCGCATGTCTTTGAGACGTCCTTTGCACCTGACTGCTCAAAGGCATGAAGCACGCTCATGCTTCTCATAGCTTGCCATGAGGTCCAGTTGCGCCCCTGCAGCGAAGGACATTACTGCGGATGGAATTTGTGGAGCTATCGATCTCAAATCCCAGCGTCTTGGCACTGCACACATCCTGCATCAGCATTCTGAATTTTTAGCTTTTGGCGACAGATGTTCCCAACACTCCTACCATGACAGTTACCTGAATGTTGACTAGACTGAGTACAACGACATGTGCCATTCTGTCAGATACATTGACCCGAACTCCTCGCAAATGATCTTCACGCCGCAGCAGCACGAGTACTTGCGGCTCGGAGCACTGCAAGGGGATATCTTGTGAATGACAGGGAGGTAGTAGTCAATGGTAAGATTGTAATTCAGAGGGAAGAGAGATGTGCAGCTGGTTTGGAGGTCTTGCCTGGAAAGGAGGATGTGCAACAAGACTGGCTAGAACCCTAAACCCTAAACCCTAAACCCTAAACCCTAAACCCTAAACCCTAAACCATATGTGAACGATGAGCTCCGAGCACCGTCAATACCCGGCAGCCTCTGCTGATAGATGGGCGACATGCTCGACTTGCATCCGATGTTGCCTTTGTGCCGCAGTGCCCTTGAGGTGCAACCAGTGCATGGGTGCAGGCAGGAGGGAGCTTGCTTACACTTGAAGGCTTGTCAATAAGGATGTGTTTTTGGATACGGGTCCTTTTGGGCTGCTTGCAAAGGTCGTCACCGAATGTGCCCGTTAGGCTCATGAGACTCCAGGCTCCTGATGCCAGGTGCCACTCCACCTCGCGGCTGCGTGCCGGACTCGAATTCCCCAGCGCCGCCGCCAGCAGCAGGGAACCTGCCACCAGGCGAGGGCATGTGATGCCTGGACTGCCTCTCCTCCACCACGTCTGCAAGGAGAGCAGTACCACTAAAGCTGACCCTTGCTGTCGAAATCCTTAGGTGCTTCAGCCGTTCCCTATGGAACTTTGTTGCATTGTGTCAGGACGTAGATTATGGGTGTCCCGACATCAATTTCAATTTGTTTTCTGTTCATTCTCGGAGCGAAAGGCTGCGATTTCGTGGCGCCATTGACCGGCACCGATCAGGCAGGATACCGCCGAAGCTTTGAGCTCGTCTCCTGTCAAGAGGGGCAACCCTACACCCTAAATCCTAAACCCTAAACCCTGGGCAGACTTCCCTTGCAAGGTGTGCACAACAGACGATGACCCACGCTACGCTCAGCTGGAGGATGAGACTTGTGAAGCACACACCGCATTTGGGTTTAGGGTTTAGGGTTTAGGGTTTAGGGCAGTCAAGCAGCCTTCACGTCGGTAGACCTGGTTGCAGGACAATGGTCAGAATTGCGCGGTTTATGCTGAGCCTTGCCCGCTTTTAAGTTGATCTGCAACGTTGGCACGGTGAGTCCAAGGCTGTGGTGCTTGCTTTCGAGTAATTCGGAGTTCTCGGCTTAAGTCAGCGTTTCAAGACCTCCTCTGAGGTGCTGAGAAGAAGAAAGAGCTGCAATGAATTCTGCCAGGAGAGGGGCAGCATATGCGCCGGGGCCTCTTGCAAACATGTTGCGCGCGGTGAAGTAACGTGTGCTTGGGATCCAGACATCTGTTTTTTACGATCTGGGTGCGGGGGGTGTGTTCAGCATGATGTAGGGCCTTGTAGAGTCCAATTCGCCCGTGAGCACCCTCATGAGTGCACAGACATGCCTGAGATGGATAGGTGATGGCATGATTAATGGGCACTTGTTCAGCATGACCGCTTCAGCAAACTGCACTTCAGTGTCGTCAACAAAATCATGCCTATCCCAGCCTTACCCCGGAGATCTTGAGTGAAGAAGTGTGGCAGATTCAAGCAGGCTGGCATGCTTTTTGTCGTTTAAGTGCTCTCTTCTCACAACACAGCTTTGCCTCCCACTTAGTGCCTCTTCAAGCAAATCTTTACCACACTGCAGCCCACCCAGAAACGCAGCGCCGTATGGACAAGCACAAGGATGCCGAGCGTAGCCAGCCCTTTCCCACCCTTTCCCGTTTCAATTAAAGGAAACTGCAGGTGGGGAGTTTAGGGTATATAGACCTTCTATAAGGCTCCTATAACGGTAACTACCCACCTGAAAATTTCCTGGGTTCAAGTCAGAAAGCAGATCTGAAGCCCTGAGTCTGATGTCCAGCCAATGTGAAACGCAGACTTCAGGTGGATGCCAAGGACAACTATAGACAGCCTTGCGTATTTGACGAGGGCAAATACCAGGCGCGACTTGCCGCACTTGCAAACATAGTTTCCATTTGCACACGTCTGACTTAAACAGCGAGGGACATGACCCTAAACCCTGAACCCTAA